CCTGCCCGTCCCTTCCAAACGGGAGTGGGCCCAGGCACCATAAGCAGGGCAGCATCCCTGCATCACCCAACACCCCCCTCACCCCCCGGCCCCTCTCCCACCCCGTCAGACGTGGGGCAGATGTGCCCCATCCTCTGCAACTCTGGTGGGAGGGCTGGTAACCCACATGGCCATGGCTCAGGGCAGCTGCCTTCCCCGGACACGGAGGGGCACAGCCCCCAGCCCCAGAGAGGAGAGACTCAGCTCACGGCAGCTCAGAGGAATCCAATTTTGCTGCGGCCAGGAGCTGTCTCCCCTGCTGCTAATGAAGTGCCTTTAATTAGCAGCCTAATAGCAAGCTCTTAATTTGCTGAACAGCCAGTTGAAAGGATGGGGACCCCACTAAGCCACGGCTGGCAACAGCTCCAAGGGCTTAAAAGGGACAGGCCGTGACTGGCTGGCCCCACCTCGGGAGGGGTCCCGTGGGGACGGGGGCAGAGGAGCAGGGCTGGGAGAGCCCCGCGGGCATGGGCACCTCTGGGCCTGCCGTGCCCAACCCCAGGCGGGCTGTCTCGGGTGAGGGAGAGCCCTGGCACCTCATCCTCCCACACAGGATGCTCCAGCTCCTGTCTCCTCCCTCCACTTGAGTCTCCGGCTCTCCCTGAAAGCATAGTGCCCTCTCCCCCAGCCATGATCCCTTCCCAGCCCGCCGGCATTCAGCTTTTCCCAGGGCAGGCACCTGCTCAAGAGCTCCTATGTCTTGCTCAGACTCAGTTTCTCTGTGTCTCGATCAGGGCATCGCCTTTACCTTCGTGCAGGTGTGCTGGGCGGCTGCAGACGCCTCGGTGACAGGGCCACAGTGGGGGGAGACCTGCAGGGAGACGCGGTCCTTTGGGGGATGGTCCCGTTTCGTTCCCAGAGCAGCAGGATGAAGATCCATCTATTGGACGTGCCCATGGGTGAGATGACCCGGCAGGAGGAGGACATGCAGCCTGCAGGTACCAGCCATGCCCAAAGTACTTGCAGTGCTGTGGGGCAGCCCTAAACACCCCCAGGATTCACCCCAAGCCCTGTGCTAAGACAGGGCAAAGCAGCAAACCTGGGACAGGATGATAAGCCCAGGCCATGCCGTGTCCCACAGCCATGCTCCCACTCTGGTCATCCAGGTACATGGCTCATCTCTGGGACCAGCACCTGGAGGGTTAAATGTGCCCCATCCAGTGGTCTCTGCCACAGGGAGAGGAAGAAACAGCAGCAGCCGTCTCTCCCCCATCCTGAGCCATCCCAGCAAGTACCCACCTAAAAACCCTCCTGGAGCTTCCCAGCCCCTCTGCACTGAAGCCCTTACCAGTCCCCAAGCCCAGTGCTCAGCCCCCAGCCGCAGCTCCCCTCCCGCCACACCGCCTGATGCTGGGGACTGAGCAGGGACATCCTCAGGACACTGCTCCATGCCAGGGGGGTGGCCGCTGCCTTGATTTAGGGGGTAAATCTGGGTTACTGCCACTGGTTCCCTGGCATCGGCTGGGATGCCAGGAGCAGAGGTTTAGCAGCAGATGTACAGGTGAGAAACGTGCTGGGGGAGGAAGGGGGTGGAGAAGGAGGAGGAAAGCCTGGGGTGCCAATTAAGGGTCACCAGGGAGCTGGGTTAATTGGAGACACTCCTGTGACCTGACCCGGTGACAGTGGCACACAGTAAGATGGAGACGAGTGCCGGTGAGAAACACCCACTGCTCTGTGCTGCGAGGGAGCTCGTCTCCGCAATTTACAGGCATCCCCATTCCTCCCCTGCCTCTGTGCAAGGACTCCCTGGCTAAAACACCCCCCTTGGCTGGGAAAGCTGGGAAAACAAGCCAGCCATGCAGGACCCCACACCAAAGACATAAAACACTCGCAAAAAAAAAATGGTACGAGGATTTCTGCAGGACTGGGGAATGCGGCAGCGGGGAAGACCCACTGGGAGAGTCTGTCCCCTTTTCCAAGATGAGATAGAAATCCCTCGGAGAGGACAGGACATGGTCTTCAGTGCTGCCTCTTGGTGTTTGCCCAGCACCATCTAGTCCAAGCTAGAACAAAGTCCACAAGGAAGCAATAAGCAGCTCAAATAAACGTAGGCAAAAAGATGCATTGCTTAGCAGCCACTGACCCCTTTCCCTGTGCTGGAGGAGAGGGAACTCGGCAGCACGGGCGCAGCAGGCCGAGCCGCTCGCAGACATCTCCACAGCTTGAAAGGTCAGAGCAGTTTGCCGGCGCTGCCCTTTTGGAGTTGACACTGCAGAAATGGAGACGGTCCAGCAGCCTCCCTGCCTCGCTGCCCCCTTGGAGGAGACGCCTTACTTGATCTGCCTTTTTAAATGCCAGCAGGGTGCTTTGGGCATGGGACAGGGAGTTTTGGACACATCAGCTGCGTGATGTTAACCAGGGGCTTCTGCAAACCACAGTGGCCTCCAGAAGAAACTCCGTGGCGTCCCTAGTGAAAGCACTGCTCGGGCTGCTGTCTCTGCCTTGTTGCACTGGAAAGCCCATCTGACTCTGTTCTCCAGCTGCGGGAAGGCTATTTACCTGTACAGGTGAGACCTTTTCAAGCCCAGGTTTTCCTGGTCATATTCCTTATCCAACTTCAGCGGTCCCCGGCAGATCAGCCCCACAGCTCACCACCCTCCCTGCTGGTTTGGAGATTTCTAGCTGCTCCGACCAGCCAGGTGCATGTCAGCAAAGCATTTCAGAGACAAAGCTCAGGATGGGAAGATAACACTGATCAGAAACAAAGAGTATCCCTTGGGGATATAATGAATGTGTCTGAGCTCTCTTAGGGCCAAGCAAAGCGGCTGGTACTCGCACACATGCACTGCCGGGAGCTTGCTTAGAAGGGCATCACATCCCCGTCCATCAGACGTCCTCAGCCGTACTCGCCAAGGATCAGCCAGCAAAGGGGACAGGCTGAGACCTCGGGTGGCTGCAGCCCGTTAGGTCAGATTTGCGTGGGATAGTTAGCACAAGCAGGATCTTATTTTCCTCTGCTAGTCGTCTCCTCCAGCAGCGCAGGTGCTTTCCTCCTGGGACAGTGTCCTGGGCAGTGTGTGCGTTGGCTGTAAAGCAACTTGAGCACTTGGAAAAGAGAAATCTTCTGTAGGCACAGCTATACAGACAGAGCACCAGGCTCTCAAGCCCAGGAGTGGCATCTTATTCCCACAAAACGTTGAATCATTTCCACGCCCTCCTGGGCGCTGACAGGTCTGCCACTGCACAGGGGGAGCTCTGCCGCACACAGCCTTTCAACAAACGGGCCAGGAGGCTGCCGGAGCCAGGCGCAGCCCAGGCCCCAGGGGCCGCCAGGACAGCGGGACAGCTCGCCCGCAGAAATCAATGGCAGCACTAGAGCATGTCTATCTGCTCAGGGCTTTTGTTTCCCCGGCCACGCTAAAGAGCTCACCATCCTAAACCTCTTCAAACTGATGCAGCACTACCCAACCGCTGAATTCATCCTAAACATTTTTTTTAAGAATTACATTAATTCTAGCCTAGCAGGTCTAAACTGGCCAATATCCCCTTTCCAAAAACTAGCTTCCTATACTCTTGAAAGCGTGTATATAATATAATAAAAAAAAAAAACCCAACAGAAGAATTCATTTTAAAGCTGTAGGTTGATCAAATGCTGTTAATTTGAAGCTATGGTAAACATTACTTTCCTCCTTCATTTGAAGTGGAAATAAGGCACACATTTTTAAACAGAAAGGGTAATTAACCACTGAATCTATTTAAGATAAGCTGTCTGGCGTTCATTCTTTTCCAGTGGAAATTTACAATTGAGATTGCTTTTCTTTCTCAAAGACTCTGTTTAGCACTTGAGTTTTTGGATGTCATGCCAGAATTCCTGGGAGAAGTTTTCCAGCCCTGCAGCACAGCACTGGCCCAGTCCTAGAATCTGGAATGCATACTCAGATCCTCGTCTTTAAACATCAAGAAGAAGGGGCAGGACTAGCTAAGGAACAACTAGCAATAACCCACAAGGAGAACCTGTTTCATGTAGGACTGGGTGTATGTGTGTTGTCTGGGTACACACAGAGACCCAGGACCGTGAGTACGAAAGGTAAGGGGCCTCATCCGTGTGTGCTGGCAGTCACAGGTTGTTTAATTCAAGCTGCATCCTGCATTACAGACCGATCCAAAACGATGGATGAAGCCTGCCACTGCAATTCCTCCTCCAAATCTATTATCTGACAGGAGGAAGGAGCAAGGAGGGAACTGAAAAGGTTGAAGTGGTGTAAATATATATATAAAACCCCAAACCCTTGCCAAACAAACCACGTGGCTGCTGGGAACCCTGTCACAAGGAGAGATGGGGATTGGAAGTGACGGGGATCCTGCTCCCAGCGCTTCAGAAAAGCAGGAGCCTTCGCAATCTCCAGTCCCCCGCTGGCTCCCAAGAATGGAGCCAGCGGGAAGAGAGACGGCAGGAGCGCGGGGTTTGTTTGTTTTCTGACCACCCCGGGAGTCAGGATCTTAAAACTGCGGTGGGCTTTGTTTTAAAAGGGGCTGTTAAGTAAAACAGAATGATCCAAGGCTGCTATCCAAGGAGCATTTTTAAGAAAAAGGTATTCTGAGGGCAAGGGGGCTTGCATTAAAATTCGGGTGAGCCATAAGCATGACAGCATCCCCAGCCATGGAGCTGCATGGCGGTGCTGTGATATGTCAATTACTCACTCATTATTGAACAGCAGGATTCTGATTAGCTTATAAAACAAATTTGTGCTTCTCCTACCAGGATCTTGCAACAGTACCCAGAAAAACACAAAGTCTTTATAGCTTCTCCCCCCGACTTTTTTAATGGGCAGGATGGCTCCGGCTCTTCTGTCAGCCACATCCATTCTCTGGCTTACAGGGCAGACTCATTTGCCCCAGCCAGAGGCCATCAGCTATGAATGGAGAGTTTGTTAATTAAAAAGTATGCTGTGGTTTTAGGAATAAGTGTTTTTTCCGACTGCCAGAGCAGTCTTTTATGCTGCATTCATCAATGAGTGGCAGCTCTGAGGTGGGACTGGCTACCGCAGACTCCGTGTGTCCTGTGAAGCTGCATCTACCCAGGCCGTGGGGCAAAGCTGTCCATCTTATGGCCGCAGCACTTCCAGGTGTTCACGCTGCAAATGTCATGTACGGGGCACGTGTAGCAGAAGCGTGACTCACATACATGGGGCTTGAGGAAGATACAGGCTTGAGATTTTGACAGTGCCCTTCACCCCAAAAGGAAAACAGGAGAGATTCACAGCTTAATCTTTGTATTTGTATTTAAGTTATTTTCTGAACAGTTAAAAAAAAAAAACAAAACCAAACACAGTTACCATGATCCTAGCTCAAGTGAACATTAGTACATTAACTACACATCACCGTAACATAATCACAAAATTCAAAGCACTCATTACTTAAGAATCCAGATAACAAATATAGCAGAGTAACAAACAGAAAACCCTGGAGAAACCATGTTCTTTCTCACCTCTCCCACTTCCACACCCACCTCAGCCTGAGCAGGCAGGAGTGATGCAGCATAGGCTGGCCTGGCAGGCATGCAGCTCTCCTAAACGTAGTGATGTAAAATGACTGGGAGAAATGGGATGTGTTACACTTTGTTGAGGTCCACATTGTTTTTCTGCCATGCTAAAATCGTGGCTAGGCTGCGCCCTGCAATGCCTCACATGATAAAGACAAAGTAGCTGAAAGCAAAGTTTTATGCTCCAAAGCAGCTCCAGATCTTCACATTGAATTGCCAAAAAATTCTCACAGCTAGCTCCTTGTAAAAGCCACTGCAAATAGGCTGGGACAGGCTGGCCTGCCTTCCTCCTGTACGTGGAGCTTCACTCAGACGTAAACCAGTGCTGGAGTGCCAGCAGATTAAAACACTTTGCCTGTAAAAGCAACAAATTGCTATTCAACACACAGGTACGAGCA